TTCTTTTGTGACGGAAGTTGCTGAAAGTTGTGTTTTGGAGACCTTCTAGATATCAAGTGTCACTTTATGAGAAGGTAGTAGGATTCGACAATACCAAAAGTTGCATATTCAGCCAAATCCAGTACCTGAGCATCTGTGAAGACTCGAAAAGCATATATCTCGGTATCAGGTGCGAATCCAGGGCATTCTGCATCTTGGCCAGCAATAACTCCTGCTACAAACGTTCCATGCCCAAGGTTATCATTTAGTGTGTCTTCATTTGTCCAATTTGTGCGCTCCTACAAAATTAGCCTCTTAAGTAATGTTTTTCACCTTGCTTCAAAAAAAAAGAACCCTGGGGGATGCAATTTCAAAAACCAATGTGAGATTAAGATTTTCTGCAATATCGTCTAATCTGGCAGAAAGTTCTGGTTCTATTTTCCATGAGGGAATTATATATGGTCTGTTTGCTCCTACAGTTCCAATACATGACTATTTGACATGAATCAATGCAACAGATAAAGTGCTAATATGGTAAGAAAAATGGAAGGAAACGACACCAAACAGTGGTATGATATTACCCATGCTATCCAGGCCCTGTTTGGTACAACTTAAATTTATTATAACAGTATAAACTGGCTTATGGACAGCAGCTGTGAAAAGCAGGTTTCTGAAGAAGCTACGAGCCTAAAAGGCTATAAAAGCTATACGTTTGGCAGCCTAGCTTTCTCCAGCTTTTTAATGGGTCCTCTCTTGTGGGACCCAGCTACCCAGGTGTCATTGAGAGCTCAGCCTCATTTGTCCTTCTCAGCCAATTGGAGCGGTGGTTGCCGGCGGTCACATTGCACCACCCTGGATAAGTCATCAGCTCCCAAGAGCTCGGCCAAGTAGGAATTGGATCGTGGCCACAGAATCGGCTCCGACATCTGGGTTCGAGCAGACTCGAGTTGTGATTGGGGAGGAGCACACACATGAGCCATAGAAGGAGCGGGGCCCGACGGAGTAGAAGTGAGAGGGGAAGCTTCTCAGCAGTGGAATGACTCCGCGGGGTCTGAGAGCTTGGGCTGTGGAGGGGCCTCGGGAAAGCAAATCTCACTAGAGAAGTGGCCTCAGGCGAAACAAATCTCAATAACAGGTGGCGTAGGCATCAAGCGAGTGGGCAGCGAATCTAGATTCCATCTCGGGCAGCAGTGAAGGATCTCATCGAGAGTCAAGACCAGACCAGCAGCATGAAAATAAGTGGTGCCAAACAGGGCCTCAAGAGTCAAGACCAGACCAGCAGCATGCACTTACTTCAAGGTCTGTTTCATTGCCTTCCAAATTCATGCCGTTTGAACTTCTTATGCTGGTATGTTAAGATCATTGTCGATGAAAACAAATGCAACAATGTACCTTAATATTGCGAAAGTGTGGATGATCGGCCCGAATACCAGTGTCAAAAATGGCCATTTTGACTTTCTTGCCAGTGAAGCCTCTTCCCCATAATCGTTCAGCTCCAAAAAGTGATGTAACTTGTGATTTCTGTCAAATGACACATTATATAATATTAAAACATGAAAACATAGGTCCATGACAACTGACAAATTATGGACAGTTGACAGTGGAGATTTATCAGATCTATCAATCAAACATTGTATTTAAGAATCCATATGCATAAATCATATATGATCAATCGAGTTTGGTTATCAATATTGTGACTATATATCCTTTGATCATATACATGAAATTATGAAAATTACAATTATAGTCAAGAAGCTCGGTCAAATGAATATTGTCAACTGTCAGATTACCATAAAACTAAAAAAGGGCGTACCCAGTGCAGAGAGCTCCCGCTCTGTGCGGGGTCTGGGGAAGGGTGTTAGTGGCAAGCCTTACCCTCGCCTGTGCAATGCGAGGAGACCGCGACTCGAACCTGGGACCTTCCGGTCACAGGCGGTAAGACTCTACCGCTTGCATCAGGCCCGCCCTTCTCAGATTACCATAAAACTACCATTAAATATTTAAATTACAATGGGTAACTGAACTTCACCTCAACAAGCTGATATCAGAAAAGTAGCAATCCCCAAAATGGACTGAACAATTAAAACTTTAAAAGATAGGTGCTCATTATTTTGTGTCTTTCATGATGGATTGTCCTAATTTGCAGTTTGCAAGAAATGCTTGAAAGAGCATTGTAGTGATTAAACTGATATTTGACACAAAGACAATATGTCTTCAACATGAACCTGACAATCTGATATTCTGATGAATATAAATTTTCCATTTCCAAAGATAATGCCAAAAAAAAGGTAAAATATTGAGCTTCTAAGTATAAAGCATTCAACAGTCTAATCCAAAACTTTGCATGATAGCAGCTAGCTTTATACTTATCCATATGGTGCTGGTAGCTTTCAATGTATCACAATCAACTACTTATAACATTGATGAGCCGGGTTGGATCTCAGTGCCATACAGCTATGCTATTTCAGAAATGTCCTAATTAAAGAGCTGATTATACACTTACACTCATTTCAGACTCTAGACTACAATCTGAGACCATATCCGTAAACAAGTAACAAGAAGCTATATGGAATACCTCCATTCTTCTAATACCAAAGTTATGAAGTTGCCTACACTTGATTATCAAACACATAAAAAACATCATTTCGATTAACATGTCCAATGCTTTTCACTGACAGACGAAACGATTATTCATTTGGCGTTCAAAGCCATAATAATACAAAGACATACTCAACACAAAGAAACAATCTTGCATCGATCTTTGTTGTTTGTAACATGAGCAGAGGTGTTGTACCTGCAAAAGAAGCCTCCGCCCCCAAGTAGCAGAAGACGAATTGCCCACCTCTCCCTCTCCGCCACTCTCCTCCTCCCCCTCGAACGACATGGCGGTGAACAGCTTCCCCCGACGGGGCGGCCGCGGCCGATCCGCCGCGGCCGCCGCCGACAGGGGGGAGCGCGAGTAGGTGGCGTCGGCGTGCACGTCCCGCACGCGGCCGAGCGCCCGCACCGCCGCGACGACGGCCTCGCGGTGAGCGTCGCGGATCTCGAGCACCGCGAAGTCGGTGGGGAACGTGGCAGCGGGGTTCCGCCGCTCCACCCACCGCCACGCCGCCGCGGGGGCGGGGGCGGCGGCGGCGCCACCACGGAGCCCCGCGTCCAGGTACTCCCGGTGCTCCTCCGCGCGGCGGTACTCCAGGAACCGCACCACGTGCCTGGACGCGGGCGGCGTTTCTTCCCCCTCGCCGCCCACGCGGCTGCTGCGGTTGGGGGAGCCGGAGGGAAGGGGCAGGGGCAGGGGCAGGGGCAGGATGCGGAACGCGAGGAGGAGCAGTGGGAGCAAGGCCGCGTACGCTAGCCGCTTCTCCATCACGGGAAGCGGCGGCGGCGGCTGCGAGATGGACGGACGGATAGCCGCCGGAGATCGGCGGGCGGCTGGTCGCCGGCAACGCGTGGGTGCGGGCAGGGGAGGCGACAGACACGGGACGCAATTAATTACTGCAATCGCCAACGACTCCTAAATTGCTGCGCCGGAGACGTTTACCACTGGTAATAATAAAAGTAATTATTCAGTGGCCTTCATTCGTCCTCCAATTCTGACTTGATCGTTGGATTTGTGAAAGCCCAGGCCCATGATGACCGACTGAGGGAAGCTGGGAACAGAGAGGATGCGGATTGGGCCCATGAAGAAATATAGCGCGAGACGAGCCCAGCACCAAGTAACAACTCGTCATGAGGCGGTGCGGGACTGCGGGAGGTCGGATCTGGTTGTTCCGTTTAGTGCCACCTCGGAAGGGGAGAGACCGAGAGGCACGGGGAGGCGGCTATAAGAGGTGGGGGTGGGCGACCGGAGTAAACCATCTTTGCGCTTGGGGCAATGACGCAGCTTATGAGGTCATACCGAGGCGCGTCAATTGCTGGTTGAAAACTATTTCCAAACCCCCTCTTTGGCCCTCTGGGCCACTGAGAATTTCTGGAAGGGCTCCTTCTCTTCGGAGAGGGGAAAGCCCTACAAATCAAGATGGAAACATTTTATTTTCTGTATCTGAACAGGGAATTTGAAATTCCGCGCAAATGGATGCTGTCGTTTGCAAATTTGTATTGTTATCAGGATTTGAGCTACATCAACAACAAGCACTCATGGTTTGTATCTTTTTTGGTTATGTCAATAAATCGCCCCGCAAGGAGATGTTCTACCGTCAACTTATTCTTGCTCATCTATCTTGACCTGGGAGTCCCATTGTTGTTTTTTGAGATAACAACAATTAAACATAGAGCACCGTAATCATTTTCAGCAAGAGAGGACTTGATGAAAGTTAGTGAAACGTTCTTTTTAAGGATCAGGCCATCATTTGCTAATATGTAGGAAACGCATTTCGGCGAAATCTTGTGTTAGACTTTAGACAAATGGGACAATGATGTTGGGATGAACGTAAGCAATTCGATCTAGATCTGAATCTTAACCCCATTTGAGGCTTTGACTTGCGTCCGTCTGAAGCTGAAGTGCTGACCTCCTCGCGCGTCCCTCTAATCTAATCACATGCAGATGCCGCTCCGTCACTCTCCTTAAACTGATTATTACGCGGTCGCCGTCGCCGTCGGCCACCGCCAGCCCATGTGCCCTCCCTCCCCCGTCGCGGCAGACACGTCCTCCGCACGGGGCCCGCCGCCCACCCTATAATCAACTGACACCAGGCCCCGCCGTTCGCTAGGCCCACCCGTCATCCTCTGCGTTGCAGCTCCCCAGTTGCCCACCTCGTGCTCGCCTGGAGCCTGCTCGGGGAGTCGCGGCGCACGCCTCCCGTCCGCCTTGCCGTTTGAACACTCGAGCTCGAGATCCATTTACGGCATCGCATCGCGCACTCGTGCCCCGCGACTCCTTCGATCCCCTCGTGGCGGTGGCACGTCGTGCGGGCGGGCGGGCTCTTGCTGCTAGAGCTAGATCTCGGAGGAGCGGAAGGGAGATAGCCAGCCAGGGAGGGAAGGGAAGGGAGGCCGCGGCGCCGCGCATTCCGTCGAGCACGATGAGGGCGCGGCGGGTTGGGGCGCTTCTGCTGCTCGCGGTCCTAGCGCTCGCCGCGTCGGCGGCGCGGCTGGACCTGGACGACGACGACGACTCGGGCGTGCTGGACGAGCTGCTGGCCATCGACGGGAGGCGGAGCGGGGCGGGCTGGACGCCGACGGCGGGGGCGCCGCGGAGGCGGTGCGGCGGGCGCAGTCGATGATGCTGGCGCTCGACAACGACAACGCGCGCCGCGCCGTGGAGGACCACGCGGAGCTGCTGCTGCTCGGGTACGCGCCGTGGTGCGAGCGCAGCGCGCAGCTCATGCCGCGGTTCGCCGAGGCCGCCGCCGCGCTGCGCGCCATGGGCAGCGCCGTCGCCTTCGCGAAGCTCGACGGGGAGCGCTACCCGAAGGCGGCCGCCGCCGTCGGGGTCAGGGGCTTCCCCACCGTGCTCCTCTTCGTCAATGGCACCGAGCACGCCTACCAAGGCCTCCACACCAAGTGAAGACGCTGCTTTGCTTTCTCTCTTGTCTCTTTTCGTTATATTATTTTACCAATTTATCGTTTGCTGGAGTGTCCTTTCACGTGTCTGACCAATTGACTGGGAATTATCTGTATCTCATGTTGATAGGGACGCCATAGTTACTTGGGTAAGAAAGAAGACTGGTGTGCCAGTCATTAGGCTTCAGTCTAAGGATTCAGCTGAGGAGTTCCTCAAAAAGGACCAGACCTTTGTTATTGGTCTATTCAAGAATTTTGAGGTACTAATGTAATATGAAACGCTGGATGTGAATAAATGTGTCATTTTTCAAATTTTAGTTCGCTCGAAATGTAAAAACTTGTGAAATAAACTTTATCATCTGTTCAATTTGTGTTCACCATATCCATATTTTGGCAGGGAGCAGAACATGAAGAATTTGTGAAGACAGCAACCACAGACAATGAAGTACAGTTTGTAGAAACCAGTGATACAAGTGTTGCCAAAGTTCTTTTTCCTGGTATTACATCCGAGGAGAAATTTGTGGGCCTTGTTAAAAGCGAGCCAGAGAGGTTTGAAAAGTTTGGTAAGTATTCTGTACATATATTTGGATGTATTTTATGTTCCTTCGGCATTCTTGTGCTCCTTGAGTAAAATTTTCAACGTGTTATAATGACATCTGCCTTCCTAGCTAATTCCGACAGTAACAATTTATCTTGCTCTTTTAGGGTAAAGTACCTAAGCACTCGTTAAGTAATTATGGATTTTCCATATGTTCTTGTTTAATTTACGAGACATAAAGCTTACTGGAGAAAAGACACTGCATACTGAAACAAATATGCGGGGTTAAATTGCAATTCTTGTTCTATACGCAGTAACGCATACAGTGGGATTTTGCAGATGGAGAGTTTGAAGAAAAGGCAATTTTGCGGTTTGTGGAGCTCAATAAGTTTCCCCTAATTACTGTTTTCACTGAGCTCAATTCGGGTAAAGTATATTCAAGCCCTATTAAACTACAGGTTGGCACTCTCTGCCTTCTCTACTTTGCTTATCAATCACATGTTTAGGATCCCAGGTGTGCCCAAATTTACTGAAAGGGCACCAGCTATTTATGTTTCTTTCAACTGCAATAAATCATTAAGTGTATAATGACCAAAAGAAAATTATATAGTTGACTTTTAATCCTTATGAAAGGACAGTTGGATTTACTCTCTCGCAAATTTGTTCTAGGTCTTCACCTTTTCAGAGGCTTATGATTTCGAAGATCTTGAATCTATGGTTGAAGAAATAGCCAGAGCATTCAAGACAAAGGTGCCAACAGATCGATGCTTTTATTTTGTTTCTGACCATGATCACATCACCTGAATGGCTATTTTGGTTAAACATGTTTTTCCCACGGTGTTGCAGATAATGTTTATATATGTGGACACTGCTGAAGAAAACCTTGCAAAACCATTCCTCACTCTTTATGGCCTTGAATCAGAAAAAAAGCTACTGTAAGTCTCATGTTGGACTCATAATTAATCTGTATATCCCTTTGGTCGTAAATGCATGAGGGCACATGTGTTCTATTGCTGATGTCTTATGACTTATGCCTGGGTATGGGTGGAGTCCGATTGGTTACTGACTCGGATAATTGATTCCTTTAAGGTAGTGGGTGATAATAATAGCAGTTACTACTCTGGAGACATGAGCTGACAATTGTCAAATCTTTTTCTATGTTGTTTAATTCCATAGATTTTTTATTTACTAAAATTAGAAAGTTCACCAGGTTACAGCATTTGATACAAGCAATGGAGCCAAGTATCTGATGGAGGCAGATATCAATGCAAAGAACCTAAGGGTATTGAGATTTTTATTTTATATTATGTTGATTACCTGACCACTCGAGGCAGTTACTTGACTGTATTGTGTTGCTGGAGAACAGGAGTTCTGCTTAAGTCTTCTGGATGGCACACTGCCGCCGTACCACAAATCAGAACCAGTTCCTCAAGAGGTAAGCTTTATTTATTTGCTTAAATCTTTTAAGGTGTATGTCGTACTGAGATTGAATTCCTGAAGCATTCTAAGTTTGAAATAATCACAGGTTAAGGCTTTATAAGGGTACATCATTGTAACTTAGTATTTCTGAAATATGTAGTTCAACATTTCTCAGTAACAATCTCCTCTTGACATTTCATAAGAATGTTTAAAATTGGAAAACAACATCCAATGGGGGTTCCCGGGCGTGGGGTGTGTGAAAACCAACTTACATGGTCTTTATGTTGGTACTGAGCTGTCGTTTTGAAATGTTTTGGGTATTTTCCTTTTGTGAAATTTGTTTAACCACTAAGCAGTATGTTTGACCCTACATTGTGCAGAAGGGACTTGTTGAAAAGGTTGTTGGTCGTACAATTGATTCTTCTGTGCTCGAAAGTCATCAAAATGTCTTCCTTGAGGTATATGGCGTTTTTTATTTGTTATATCTCTTCTCATTTTCAATGTACATATTACATAATTTGTTCTTTAAATGATCTTACAATCCTTTTTTAAATGAAAGGTTCATACACCTTGGTGTGTTGACTGTGAAGCGATAAGTAAAAATGTTGAGAAATTGGCCAAGCATTTTAATGGTTTGGACAATCTTAAATTTGCACGCATAGATGCTTCTGTGAATGAACATCCCAAATTGAAGGTGAGTCAATCTTTGCATTATCATCCAAGAAAAGGCATGGAATTATCAATAACTGACACTTTCTCTATCATGTTCATGCATCACAAGATGCTGACTTGCAGTGCAATTTTCTATCTAGTTATGTATTCTGTCATTCTGCGTTATAGCTTGATTAATGCTTATCAATGACATTTCACCCACGTAAGGGCTTGTTTGGATGTTACTCATATCCAATCTCAATTCCTGTGTGTTGGAGTGAATTGAGGTGGAAATAAAATTTTCACTCAAATCCACTCCAACCCATATGGATTGAGGTGAATACGAGTGCATCCAAACAAGGTCTAAGTGTGCGGAGAATACTTTCTGAGGCGTAAACTTATATGGTTGTAACTACCTCTATAAAAACACAGCATGCTCGCATGCACACATGCAGGCTGCCTGGACATTGCCCACACTCCACACACGTAGGCACACCACCTGCACACAAATGTTCACAGTTCACCCATTGTTCATGATTGATGTGCTGATGCATGGACTTGCAACTATAGCTTGGAAAATTGAAATTTTCATGAGACCCGTGTGTAGAAGTTGAGATTCTGGATGATTCACTGCACGTGTTGGCTATTTTTTTTTTCTTCTGGAAGTTTTCTATTTACTGTTCGGAAACAGTTTAAACACTGTATGAGATAACTGAATCGACCACGTCCAGCCAAAAAAAAAGGGCGTACCCAGTGCAGAGAGCTCCCGCTCTGTGCGGGGTCTGGGGAATGGTGTTAGTGGAAGCCTTACCCTCGCCTGTGCAATGCGAGGAGACCGCGACTCAAACCCGGGACCTTCCGGTCACAGGCGGTAAGACTCGACCGCTTGCACCAGGCCCGCCCTTCACCACGTCCAGCCAAAGCTAGCAAATATCATGAGAATATAATATAATATAAATATATATATGTAACTATTGGTTAGAGGTACATTGCTTTGGCTACTGGAAGCACAGTTTAATGCATCTGCATGCCTGCATCTCCAAGTTGATTTGTCAAATTTTAAACTTTGCGTTACAATCGTCCATGTTTATGAGCAGGTGAACAATTACCCGACGCTATTCCTTTATCTTGCTGAAGACAAAAGCAACCCGGTATGTCTACAGAAACAAATGCAAACATCTGTTAAGTTGATTCTTTTGGACACGTGTTAGTGATGTGCTTTGTGCTGATTCTGTCTTTTGGAATGCAGATCAAGCTTTCAAAGAAATCAAGTGTCAAGGACATGGCCAAACTCATCAAGGAGAAGCTGCAAATATCAGATGTGGAGACAGTAGCGGCTCCTGACAATGTCAAGGATGATGTGGAGACAGTAGCGGCTCCTGACAATGTCAAGGATGAGCTATAACCTGTAGTAGACTTCTCCGGCGGCCTGAGTTTGAGTAAGCTAGGGTCCAGTGAAGGGAAACCTGCAGCATGTTTGAGTGTTTTGCGCCAACCTGATAACAGAACTTGCTTTGTCCGCGTGATGTGGCTTGTGTTACGTTGACAACAGACAATCGTATAGAATAGGTACGTAAATCAAATGAACATGTAAATCAATTTTAATGGGGTTCAGTTCATACATGAATATCCAGGGTAGTATCAGGTTCTCATTTCTGATTCAACATAAATAAAACAAGAGCATCTTTCTTTTATCGGAAGAACTGGAGTGTTCAATAAAGAATTGACCTTCTGTGACTTGAAGTCTTGAAGGCCGCTGTCGCCGGCGAGGTCCTCGTAAGCCCAGTACGCGCTCGGGCCAGCCCATGTCGTTGGTCGCTGTGTCGTTGACCTCCTTGCTCTCCCTGCCGGCGACGGCGCCGCCCTTGCGGAGGTTGCCGGAGGATCGGAGGAGCGCGAGTGGTGGCCATCACAAAGCTAATAGTAGTCGGTCCATCACAAAACTGCCTGCCGCTTCGCATGCGAATGCAATGCAACTGACTCGTTCACAGTCTCTCTCGACCAACCAGACTCATCACTCAACAAACCTCCCGCTCCCTGCTCCGAACCCCAAGAGTATCGGCAGATCGAGACTTCCCGTCGATCGACCGCCACGCCGCCGGCCGCCATGATCTCGTGGCACGACCTGTATACGGTGCTATGCGCGGTGGTGCCGCTGTACGTGGCGATGGTCCTGGCGTACGGCTCCGTGCGGTGGTGGGGCGTGCTGACGCCGGACCAGTGCTCCGGCATCAACCGCTTCGTGGCCGTCTTCGCCGTGCCGCTCCTCTCCTTCCACTGCATCTCCACCAGCGACCCCTACGTGATGAACCTCCGCTTCATCGCCGCCGACACGCTGCAGAAGGTCCTCGTCCTCGCCGTGCTCGCCGTCTGGTCGTACCTCCCGACCGCGCGCTGCGGCGGCGCCGCGGCGGCCGGCGGGACGAAGTGGGAGCCATTCGACTTGTCCATCACGCTCTTCTCCCTGGCCACGCTGCCCAACACGCTCATCATGGGGATCCCGCTCCTCGTGGCCATGTACGGGCAGTACTCGGGCGACCTCCTGGTGCAGGTGGTTGTGCTCCAGTGCATCGTGTGGTACACCCTCCTGCTCGTCCTCTTCGAGTTCCGCGCCGCGCGGGTGCTCATCGCGGGTCAGTTCCTGGCCGGCACCGCGGCGGCGTGCATCGCCGACGTGCGCGTGGATCCGGACGTGGTGTCGCTGGCCGGAAGCCAGGCGGAGGCGCAGGCCGAGGTGGCGCCGGACGGCAGGATGCGCCTCGTCGTGCGCCGGTCCACGTCGGCGTCACGGCGATCCGTGGCGGCCGCCGCCGCGACGCCGCGGCCGTCCAACCTGACGGGCGTGGAGATATACTCGTTGAGGTCGTCACGGAACGCCACCCCGAGGGGGTCCAGCGGCATCGCGCACGCCGACATCGGCTGGGCCGCCGCCGCGCCACCGCACGGCGCGTCGTCGCTGCGCATGTCGAGCTTCGGCGCGGCGGACCTCTTCTCCCTGCACCCGACGCCGCGCCCGTCGAGTTTCGACGAGCAAGCGGTGCGGGCTGGATCGGCCGCCACGGTGGCGCCCAGCAACGACCCCAGGGACGTGCACATGATCGAGTGGAGCTCCGGCGCGTCCACGACGTCGGAGGTGCGCGGCTTGCCCGTGTTCCACGGCGGCGACCTCCACCGCGGCATGGATTCCCGCCGGCTGGTGCCCTCCGAGGCGCCCCCTAGAGGTCAGTCATCACAGGTGAACAATTGAAGCAAATACATAGATAAACGTGCAAGGACTGATGGTCGGCGCATGCGATTGCGTACGTACGGGGTTTTGTTTGTTTCAGCGATGCGACCGGGGGAGCGCGTCGTCACGGCCTTCCCGGCGGACGCCGGGCAGGACGCGCTGGCGAAGCTGGAGTCCGGGTCGACGGAGGAGGAGCGGAAGGACGCCAAGCAGGACGCCGGCGGAGCGGGAGGGCAGCAAACGGCGGCACCGGCCGGCGTGATGATGCGGCTGATCGTCACGATGGTGTGGCGGCGGCTGATCCGCAACCCCAACACGTACGCCAGCGTTGTCGGCCTCACTTGGTCTCTCATCTCGTTCCGGTAATCCATCAAGTTCTTGGTCGCGATGCTAGTATATATTTTTTCGTTTTCTGCATCTGAATTTTATTTCAGAAAGAACAAATAAAAAACGCCTCGTATTGCATTATCGTATCGGATCTGTTCCTGCAGATTCCACGTCGCAATGCCAGCCTTAGTGAAGAACTCCGTCAGCATACTCTCCGATGCAGGGCTAGGGATGGCCATGTTTAGCTTAGGTGAGTTGTCACCTCCATGTCTTCCCAACTAGTAATACACACATGTTGGTGGCTATCCTATCCTGCAATAATTCTTTTGCTGCCTGCCCAGGGCTCTTCATGGCCGTGCAGCCCAAGATCATCGCCTGCGGAAACACCATCGCGGCCGTCACCATGGCGATTCGCTTCCTCTTCGGCCCCGCCGTCATGGCCGCCACGGCCGCCGCCGTCGGCCTCCGAGGCACGCTCCTGCGCGTCGCCATTGTTCAGGTAACTATATTTAATTTCTGTGTTAAGGCTTTTGGTTTACACGTTGTGACAGCCAAAAATAGCGCTGATTTTGTATGCACATATGTGTTGGTAGGCCGCTCTGCCGCAAGGAATTGTGCCCTTTGTGTTCGCCAAGGAGTACAATCTGCACGCCGCCGTTCTTTGCACCGGGTAAACCAAGCCAAACAACTAGCCCCCTTCGTTCTGTTGCTTTGCAGGGTTGTCATCAGTGAGCTGTGCTTCAGTGTAGTATAAGCGTAGTGTTAACAGCAGATTAGGAAGGAACAGAAGAATTGGAATCTAGGCAGGGAAGCACAGCAAAGGGGCCGGAATAGACGACGAGTTCTTAGTAGTAGATGGTTTGTTCATTACAATAGATGATAACCCCTTCCACGAGAAGATACTAGGCTATATAGTAAGACGCACACACACGCATCTTCAGAGCTGGTTTACTTGGTCACCCAGGTCGGCCCGTAGTAGCGTGGGTTCACCGATCTAGGCCTTTGCGGACGGCCTGACTGTAGCCCATCCGAGCCGAGCTCATCTGTTGCCGGACGGCCGTCAGGTAACGAAGCCGAGGAGCCGGACGCTGGATCAGAGTCAGCTGATGGAGTGCTGACATTCCCTTGTTAGATACTTTGGATCATCTGGGAGTGGATCCAGTGGGTGTTTACTTGTGTTTCTCGTAGAAATGGTGTGTACGGAGAGGGACAGAGAGGAAGAGGGAAAGCTAGGGTTAGGCACAGACCATTGGTAGGCATTGAGGAGGCGGATCCGGCCATCACAGGTTCGCCGGTGAAGATCTGCACTAGGACAGCGACGGGCGATGAAGAAGGAATGGTGCAGTGAAGTGGTGTTGGCGCAGTGCCGTGGCGGCGGCGGTGCTTTCTGTCACTGGCTGCGCCCCTCTATTAGATCGGAGTAGGGTTTACCGGTGGGGCGTACGGCTCAGACCAACCTCGTACTGAGAGCCGCCGACCCCCACCTCTATTTAATGTGCAGTGTGACAGGGGCCCGTCAGCCATAGATGGACTGGGCACCCTCGATCAGGGCACGAGGTCAAGGCCCAAGTGGTCGTTGGGCCACTGTGGTTGGGAGATCAAACGAACATTCTCCCCCTTGATCTCAACTCATACTTTAACTTTAAACTTTGACTTTAATCCCTTTCACTTTTATTTGTTCCATCACAGATTAGTGCATAGAGCATGCTTCATCGTCACGGTCAATCGTCGATAGATTTAACAGCTACAATACACGTCTCTGTTCTGAAACAGATTCTTTAACTTTGGGCCCTTTATTGTCCGAAAATCATAGGCTATACCATAAACCCATGTCGACTGTGTATTCTCTAAACACACTGGGTGGTAAGCCTTTTGTACACGGATCCGCAAGCACTAGCTTGTTACTTTAATACTTTTAGTATGATTTCAGACTTTCTCCTTCACAACGTATAACTTTAACGTCAATGTGTTTGGCAGCACATTTGACTCGTTGTTATAGGAGCGAACTACTTAAATGGTTATTGCTGTTGTATACCATTATCAATTCCGGGTGTAAGTGCTTTTAACTATTTCGCCTGTCCTTAAGCCTCATAACAAGCTATATTGTGGGTATGCATCTTTGATGACACCACAACTGTTTCTTTGGAGCTTTTTCACAATAAAACTCAAACTGTGAGTGTTAGCTACTATGTGGGTTTCACTAAACATCTCACCAAATTTTAACATTTGTACCCACAACTATTTAAGAGTACTTATTCTTTCTTACTCACCATGAGGCCTATAAATCTTTGCACAATTACAAAACATTCTCAACTCCATTCCAGTGATCTATATCTGAACTGGACTTCTGCCAAAACATCCTGAATACATGAACCATGTCAGGGTAAATTTTTACTTATAAGCATTTATTAAGCTTCCAACAGCTGAAGCATATATGACGTCCTTTTGATCGATCTCACATTGGTTCTTGGAACACTGGAAGTTTCCAAAACTATTACCCTTTACTATAGGAACAGGCGTAAGTTTACTCACATATATACTTTATTTCTTTAGAATCTTCTCTAAGTATACACTTGAGATAGTTCTAATACCCCTTTTCATTTTGTCTCGGTAAGTTCCAATTCCTGAAACGAATGACGCTTTACCAAGACCATTCTCATTGAAACTTGAGGACAAGAACTGCTTCTTCTCCAACAGTAGATTAACACCACTACTAGCGAGCAAGGTGCTACCCACATGCAGGATTAGGAAAATGAATTTCCCATGTTTAAACTTTGCATAAATGCAATTGTCCTCTACATTCTCTTTAAAACCCAAACTTTCTTATTGTACTGTCAAACTTCAAGTACCACTGTCTTGAAGCTTGTTTTAATCCATAAATGGATTTCTTCAGGCAACATCCCTTACGTTCTTTTCCTTCCACGATAAAACCTTTTAAGTTATGCCATGTAAACTTTTCCATACAAATCCCCGTTGAGGAATGTGTCTTTATATCCTTTTGATGTAACTGTAAATCGTAATGTGCCACTAACACCATTATGATTCTAAAAGAATCCTTGCAAGCTTATTATAATATATTCCTTCTCTTTGTGTAAATCATTTTGCCACAAGTGGCATTTTATAGCTTTCCATATTTTCTTTGGAGTCACATTTGTCTTGTAGACCCATTACAGCCTACTGTGTTGGCTCCATTGGGAATTTCTTCTAAGTCCCAAACATCGTTGGTATTTATCGATTTTATTTCATCTTCCTTTGCTTCTTGCCATTTAGACGAGTGAACGCCTCTCATGACTTTTTCAAATGAGGTGGAATTATCATTTATTTGAATTTCTTTCTTAACATTGACTTCTTAGTCACCAGAAATATCTGATTTTCTTATTCTTTGAGACCTTCTGGGGCCTCGTGTCACTTCTTTCATATGGGGCTATTGTTACTCTTCATTGCCAAAAGGCAATTGTTCTATAGCCTCCTGTATCATAAGATCCTTATTTACTTATTCATCTTTTTTAAGAGCTAACATCAGGTGTTGTATATGTCATACAACATCAACATGTATTAAGCAATTTGTTGCTCTAAAACACTGTGGTGGATATGTAATCCCACTTCTATTCAAGCCTTAGGTATCATACCATGCTTCTTCAGATTACTCCATCTTTTGTAAAGATGGTGTATCTTTAAATTTCTTATTTTTGGTTTAATCTGCTAAAAACTCATATGGCGTCGTCCAGTATGAATACTAGCTGACTATGCTATCTTCCTATCTGAACTGTAAAATGTCTAGGAATTTAGTTATTTCTTTACTTTAGGGGTATCGTTATTATGACCGTTTTACTCCCTCAACGATCACATTCATCTTTTATAGATCACTTTTACCTTCAATGCATAGTATGCATTGCATTATCTGAAGTATGGGGAAGTATCTTTCTTAATTGTCTTTCTTAATTAATCTTACATTTCTCCCCCTCAAAATGTGGTATGAACTTTTCTACCACAATTTCGAAAAACATTCAGAACTCTTGTTAATGAGGAAACTTTGATTACTTACTTCATCCACATGATTACATCATGCAAACAAAATTCGTATGGGAGTACATTTTTCTTATTACACTTCAAAACTCAACATAGTCTATTATTATCAATACTTCTGCAAGTCACGCTTGCATATCATTCTTATCTTTTGGTTCACATGCAACTTTCTTTTGTTCTTAAACTCATTGAGTACTTAATGACCATGACACAATCGGAGTGTACGGTCAATACTAGGATAGCATAAGAGCTATCCCAAACTTTTCTCCATGTGCGGGATACACTTAGAGCACATGAGTCATCATATCCTTCTCCCACCATGCGGGATAAGTACTACGCCAAACTCTCCCGCCATGCAGGATTGGTTAACATATGTACTATGCCAACTTTACCTCGCCATGCGGGTATTTTCTCAAACTTTTCCCGCCATGCGGGTACTATCACAAACTTTTCCCGCCATGCGAGATAATTCCCTTGAACGGGCATAATTGCCAGGATTGGCTCGTGTTCAATCATCAAATTCAGAAATAAATCCGAATATACTTTTAACACACATGTTTAATCCAATGTTAGTCAAATTAAACATGTATATGACTTTTACAACTCTCATAAGTGAAACTTAAAAATAAATTCTTCACAGAGAGTACATAAAAGATATTTCTCAATGAAGACTCATTGATCTATCTCTTTTCTTGGATCAATATCCTAGAATGCTTTTCTTTTGAAGCCATTCTTTAAAAGAGAACACAGTCCCTTAAGCAATGGCATTCTTTCATACATAACTTGCCCTTAGACATTTTATCATCTGAGTCACAAGTACCTAGCTTATTTCTCTTACTGCCTTCAAGAATGAAAACATGGAAGTCTTTTGTCTGAAAAAATATTCAACAATAATGCTCATTAAACTTTGAAATCTTTATGTTCTATTTTATATCACCGTTGGGCAGAAATAGAATAAAACATCATTCTTCTACATTAATTCCACATCACCGTTGGGTAGAAATAGAATTAACGTATATAAATTCAATAATCTTGAAAACATAGAACTGCTCATCAAAATTAAATTCTCCCGTTGGTTCGAATTTAATTAGAAGACAATCAACTTCATTGCAGCTGAAACATAAAAATAAATTTCTCTAGTTTAAGAGCATTCCTTGATCTTTATCTATTATCTAAAATTTGGTCACTTTGATGCAAAATTCATCAGAGATTTAAACTTTAATCATAAAACTCATAAAATTATAATATTGTTATCATCAACGTTGATCAAAAAATAACAATACCATAATTTAACTTTAAATTTAAACTCATAAATAAACTTATAATATTGTTATCATCAACGTTGGTAAAAAAATAACAATATTATTATTTATCTTAACTATCAACCGACTATTCCTCCAATTAAAAATTTTCCGGTTGGTTCCAGTTTTAACTGGAGGATAAAATTTTCATCATTTACTGAATAACTATAATTGCTCTACTAATTAGAAGGCAATAAACCTTTAACTTTGCAGCGGAACTATGAACATAATTGTTGAATTTTACCCACAGGAAAATTCTCTTTTCCAATTTTCTTTGAGCCATTTATCACTGGAAAAATTAGAAAAAGAAAATGGCTTAAACTTTTACTGTGCTGTGGCCCAACCAT